AATTAGCACAGAATTTGAGACAATCCAGTCACTGCAGCTTGTTTGCTCTCTGGAAGATGATGCAACATCCCAGAGTTGCAAGTTCTTAATAAATAAAATCGACATGAAAGCACATGTCCAGTGGTGGTATGTGAGGAGTCAAAGTAAAACCCACTCAAAGAACACACAAGTGTGTCTAGAAAACAAAGAAAAATTTAACCTGTTAGATATTGTTGTTTAGCTCTTTGGAGATTATAATCAATTTGGATATATACCAAACTTCAGCTTTCTATAAACTTTCAAAAAGGTTAAAATTTAAAAATCACAAGAGAAATCATAAAGTATGCTAATTACCAAATCTGTATAAGAATGACTTTTTATTTTATACTATAAGTCATAAAGTTGTACATAGAAAAACTGGAAGAAAGCATACCTACGTATTAACAACAACTGTACTTGAGTAACAAAACTACAGATAAATTTGTCTTTCATTTAACTTATCTGCATTTTTCTGAAAATGTCACAAGAAGAATATCTTAACTTTATGATGAAAAATATTTTTGAAAAATAAATCAAGATAAAATAACTGTACTGAGAGAAAATATGGACTTTAAATGAAGAAAGTTATTTGAGAGCAAGGAGTACCTAACTCTTCTAGAATGAGCAAAGAGTCAAAAAAAAAAACCTCACCAAGGAAAGTTTATGTAAATCAGTTCTTTATAGAATGAGGGCAACAAAGAAAGGAGAGCCATGACCCTGGGAAAGAGCCAGGAGGGACTGAAAGGTATCCAGATTTATTTTCATGTCAAAGGTATCCAGATTTTTTTCCTTCCCTTGCAGGTAGTAAGGAGTGATACAGTTATCATTGTGTAAATACTTCCATGAATCAGTGGATGAATTGATATTGATTGATTGATTGATTGATTGATTGATTGATCAATCGATTGGCTGAAACTAAGAATTTTTACAGGTGATCAATATGTCCAGAATGCTGAGAGCTGTCAGAAGCATGGGCTGGTATAGAAGATAACAAAGTATAATCAGATGATTTTTGTACGGGTAATGAATGGCAAGACTGCTTTGTCAAAGACTAAATTAAGCTAGGAGCTCAAGCCTGTGGATCTGTCACCCACTTAGAGGTAAATCATAGTAACAGTCCCCTGTCTCTTTTGTTTTGCTTGTTTCCTGCAGTGCTAGAACTCGAACCCAGGGCCTCATGAATGCAAACCAAGCATGTTACCACTCAGCTCTATCCCATACCCTCTTGTCTTTTAGAGTTCCTCTTCTTCACTATTGTTTTAAGGGAGTCTGAGACAGAACCCAGCATGTTATTTACTATATCCTGTTTGAATGCCAAGGCAAGGCTTAGCATAAGAAGAGGGAGAAAAAAAAAGAAAAAGTTCAAAGACAGATTCAAGAGAGGAAAAGAAAGAAGAAAATTGACAGGAAAGAGAATAGGCAGTTGAGACAAGAAACCAATGGGGAAGGTATGAAGCGACAGCTGAAATACTCTTCTAGCTAATGAGAAAGAATGACAAGTTTTCGGGTTACTGAAATAGTGGCTATCTGTGTGAAGTAAATCATCAGAAATTTTACTTGTGGTTTTTCCAGTGACCTACACTTAATTACTACTGCACTTCCTGCTGCTGTTTATCCTCGTCTCGAATTCTTTTGCACTGAGGTGAGTACTCCATCTGCAGATGGCCTCTGCAAATACAGTCCATGTGCCATTGCTGCTAGTAGACTCACAATGCGTGTCTTTAGTAGTCTCAGAACCTCCAACTCCCAGCTTGCCCAAGTTCCCCAGAAATCTCAGTCCTGCTACAGAAGGAACCCACTTCCTATTCCAGCTAAAACTTTTACTATACTGTCCAAGTTCTTCTTTAAATACCACAAATTAATAAAGAGATTGAACACCAGGGTCAGAACCAAGGGACTAACATGGCTATTATTCGCTGAAAGCAATATGATTTGATGGTTACATTTCTCCTTGCTTTATAGATCTCATTCACAGGGCTGGATATAAATATAGCATTGTCTACTAGGAATAGTTTTTTCTGTAAAGATGATATTTTTATCTATCTGAATATGAATAACCAAAAAGGAATATAGATAGATGATTGATAGATAGATAGATAGATAGATAGATAGATGATAGATAGATAGATGATAGATAGATAGATAGATAGATGATATAGATAGATAGATGATAGATAGGTAATTGATAGATAGATAGACAGATGATAGATAATAGAGATAGATGATAGATAGATAGATGATAGATATAGATGATAGATAGATGATTGATAGATAGATAGATGATAGATGACAGAGAGATGATAGATAGATGATAGATAGATAGATAGATATGATATAGATGATAGATGGATGGATAGATGGATGGATGGAGATAGATAGATAGATAGATAGATAGATAGATAGATAGATAGATGAGAGAGAAGGATGTCGTATCTTCAGATTAGAAAAAAAACCAACAATGTTTTCATGAGCTACACTGACCACATCATTTGCTTCTCAATAGAAGCAAAAGTACAGAGCTTAATGAGTAAAAAATTAAAACTTATGTTGCCCCCTCAGGGAGGTATAATTTTTTAAAATTACATATACAGCATATTTGAGGAATGTTATTACAACTTGGTAAATATTTTTAAAGACTTGTTTTGACAGAAGCTGTGTTTCTTCTAAGAAAATAGGTTTATGAGGATAATGTAGCAGCCCATCATATGCAAATCGGTAGCATTTATGAGCTGGAAAAGGAGAGCCTGGCATGCAGCTGCGGAGGACATACTGTGCAAATACACAGTTGTTCCTATTAAAATTGCATGTGAATGTCATCTTAGATAATCCTTTCCTGGTACAGCCTTCATATAGTTCAATGTCTCTTGTACATATATACTATCATATAAGAAAGGATTGTGTACAAGATACTAAATTCTCAAGAAATAGAAATCAAAGGATAATTATGTGTGATTGCAAAAAGATTTACCACATAATTTTTAATAAGTAGTAATCTTCATGCACCTAAGCTAGTGTTTGGTATAGAGAACTGTGAGCCTATGTGAAATATATTGACATTTCATCTGTTAGGCAAAGTATGGCAGCATCAGCAGTACCTGGAAACCGATTAGAATGTAAATCATCAAGCTCCCCCTACACAAAATGAACTGGAGATTATGGAGAGAGACTGCAGAAACTGGTTCTTTGACAAGCCCGCCAGCTAATGCCATGAGCACTGAAGTCTGAGGACCACTGAAATTAAGTAATCAAGTGATTTCTTATGAACGCACAGATCCATCTACTGCATAAGGCAATTACTTTAAACCTGTGTTGTTAGAATGCTAACATTTTGTTCCAGTGTTCTCTGATGGGTTGCCTGTAGGTAGCAAAGGAGTATAGGCTGAAATTCTGTTTTACAAAATATAATAAGAGATATCTTGCAGGTAGAAATATGTCATACAGAACTTCAAATACAAGTCCTGAATAGACTAATATTCAGGACAAGGAGAAAAAAATGAAAAGCACAGTTAGGAAAGAAAGAGGCAGGAAGGAAGGAGAAAGAATATTATTCAATCAGCTGTACAATTATAAAATCATCAAAGTGAATGAATGACCTCTATAAATATGCACAATACAAACAGTATAGGTGACCTTAGTAAGTTTAGATTAAAAGTAAGCCATAAATGGGGGCTGGAGAGATGGCTCAGCAGTTAAGAACACTGGTTGTTCTTGCAGAAGACCTAGGTTCGAATCCCAGCACCCACAGATAAAGTGATGTAAGAAGCAAAGCAGTGTCAGCTTTGAACAGAGAAGTTTCTTTATGCACTAGTCAATGGTGAGTGTAGAGATTCCTAAGTGATCAAAGTACAGCTAACAACTGTCCATAACTCCAGTTCCAAGGGATCCGACAGTTTCTTCTGACCTCCACGGGCATTGCACGACATGGGTGCACTTACCTACATGCAGACAATACATGCATACACATAAAGTAAAAATAATAAAAATTTAAACCATAAATGTGTACAAAAAGTCTGAATCTTTTAAAATTATTTAATTATTTTTAAATTTTTATTGAGAATTTCATACATACATATAAGGTGTTTTGATCAAATCCACACCCACTCCCCACTCTCCAGCACCTCCCATATCTCCCCATCACTTTTTCTGACTTCATGTTCTTTCTCTCTTTCTTTCTTTCTTTCTTTCTTTTTTTTTTTCTTTTGTCTTTTTGAGACATGGTCTCCCTGTAGCCCCAGCTGTCCTGGAACTCACTATGTAGACCAGGCTGGCCTTGAACTCACAGAGATCCGCCTGTCTCTGCCTCCCGAGTGCTGGGATTAAAGGCATGTGCCACCACACCTGGCTTTAATGGGACTTTTTTCTTTATGGGGCTTTTTGCTACTGTAACATTCTCCCCTCTGAAGAGGTAACCCTAAAGTCTTTTAGGGATAAGAGCTTCAAATACTTTTGACATTTTTGGCCTTTAGAACATAGTATGTTGCTAAGAGGCCAAGGACATTTTGACTTTTAGCAAAGAGAGTGGCTGCATTTCTTTGGAGCCTTTTCTTTTTTAACCCTAATTGCTTAGCCAGTTCTTACCTCCTATTCTTATCACACTGTCCTCTGAAGAGGTTACCCAAGTTATCGATAGGGAATCGAGACACAGACCACTCTGGCTTCTTCCATGCCGAACAGGGACACCGGGTGAGACAAGACCCTTCAATGGGTCTATCTAAAAGACTCCCAAATTGCAGAGAAAAGAAAGTCCTTGACTGGTGAATAGGAGATGTGGAAGAGAAGTAAAGGCAAGAATAGTTAGCATTACAAGTTCTAGACAGGGAACCAGAAAAATGTCAGAGTAGGGAAAATTTCAAATGTTCATATCAGAGTCCATTGGGATTTCTTGATGAAAACTTCCAAAAGCATCTCTCTATGGGTTCCTCCTCATTTTTCTTTTCTCTGCCAAGGCTGGACTCGAGAGCGATGGACTCAGGATTTGTTTTCAAGCACTTTGATAGCTGTTGGAGTGGCTACAATCAGTGTCAGTTCCCTCTCAAAGGCTTCTAGATAGGGAGAGAAAACAAATTTAGCCATCATTTTAGAACAATAGAGGGTTCTCTCCCTTAGCTACAAGTGGGTACTACAGTATTGCAGACCAAGACTTGAAGTCTTACATCTTAGCAGCACTTTCTGCTTAGAAACAAAATCATCAATGAGAAATAATTGTTTAAGTAACATTTTATAGGGCCTTAAGCATAATGTCTGGGAAGTGTAATCCCTTGAACTCAAAGAAGTATACTGCTCACTTTCATCTTTGGTTATACTTTCCTTTTGGGTGTTTAAGACCATACAGTTGGCCCAAATAAACCAATTTATTTTTACTTTTCAGGTTATTGTAGGATCTGTTCCTCAGGGGTCACATGGGCTTGGGAGGAGCCCCTGGCTCCTTTCTTTTACCAGTTCCATCTATGTGAAGATAAGAAAAAGTCCTGCATGACTGTGGCTGGCTTCACTTGGAAGCATGAAAAAAATGTTTCCTCTGAGTTGACCCTTTCTTTCGTAGACTGGATACTGGTTCAAGTCCATTTGGTTGGCCTCCACGAACAGGAGGACAGGTGACTCACCACAGTTACAGGGCATTTTGAGAGATGCTTCATAGTTCCCTGGAACTTAGTTGACCTTGGAGGGCAAGGAACAAAACCTGTCCTTTAAGTTCCTCTGACCAGATTGGTATAGGCCTCAAAGTATGGCTGTTAAATGTCCAAGAAGGTTATTTCCACCAGTCTGGTACTTTTAATTACAATGTGCTATGTAGGTAAAGCTTGGGCAAAAACCAAATGTTCTCAGATAAACCTTGACTAGACATGAATTTAGTCTGAATCTTTTTTAAAAGTTAAAAACCACCAAAATGAACTAGAGATCTATACATTTTAGAAATACAATTAGATCAGATAAAGTGACATAAGAAGCAAAGGAACGTCAGCTTTGGACAGAGAAGTTTCTTTTTGCACTGGTCAATGGTGAGTGTAGAGATTCTAAGTGATCAAAGTACAGAGGGTAAGTGACTACTGAATGCCCAGCCATAAACAGGACATCTGTTAATACCACCTTTAAGCTTCATGGACTATCATAGAGGAACAGAGAAACTGTAAGGAGGAAGTCAGGGAGTTATGCAGAACGCTGACTTCTAAGCATGACCCACAGGTGTGATTACCTGCGTGAGATCTGAACAAGATTGAACCCTTCAACACTCCGTCATGGAAAGGGAAGGAGCTAATGGGCCTCACTCCTACCTGAAGTTTATACATAGATAATAATAGTTGATGGAAGAAGAGAAATTGTCTTCAATGGTGTAGCCCCTGGTAAGGTGCCATGCTCCTGTAATCAAACTCCAACCCACAGCCCTGCAAACAACCCTAATGAAAGTCATTGGGTTACAACAAAATAGACATGATGGTAGAAGGGGAACCAGTTAGCAATAGGAATGGGATTCTTCATGGAAGTGGAAGACAACAGAGGGTAACAAGGTGGGGGTAAATATGATCAAAATGCGTATATGAAAATGTCATATTGAGACCCATTATTATCTATAATTAATACATGCTAATGAAAATATTTTTTAAAAGAATGGAAGCAATAGAGCAATGAACAGAAGGATTGGGGCGATGCTTGTGTTAAACAAGGAAAGATTTCTCGGATACAGCTAGCTAGCTAGCTAATAGCTAAACAGAAGTTATTCAGAAGACCTGGTCTTTAGTGTTTAATAGCAGATCTATGACTGACTATCTCATTGCATTAATGATCGATCGATGGATGGATGGATGGATGGATGGATGGATGGATGGATGGATGAATTTAGAAGCCATGGATGGACTATTATGACCAAGTATAAGTATCTAATTTTATGTACTTGATATCCATCAATAACTTTCAAGGCTTCTAACAATAAACTCATAGAATATATGCTTGAAAGCTATCATCACAATCAATTTAAAAATGAATGTGTCATTATAACTAAGATATTAATACAATAAAAACTCTCCCTACACAGAAATGAATTAAGTAGAATTTATCTATGAGTCGTTTATATTTAACAAAGATTAAAAAGCTAACAAATGTCAGTCTTACTTGATCATGTCTTCATTTTGGCACTGGCTTGGTTTCTTTATTATTTCCTTATTCTAACCCTTTAGGACTTTCTTCTGTGAGAAGTAGTGATAAAGGGGTCACCACCTTGAGTAGCTCCAAGTATAGTTTGTTGAGTCTAAACTGTCATCAAACCTGACCTGGTCTGTATCATATTGCTGGAGGATTTTCTTCTACTACATAATAATTAATAATAATTATTCAAATAGACTAATTAATCCCTGCTAAGGAATTACCTACCAGTTAAACCTCTTTGGATGAAAGTTTAACCAAGTTGAAATGTAGAGCTTCTTGAAACCCCTTAGCATAACGTGAACATTTGGAATTTAGAACTCTGTGATATAGTATGACATGGAGGAAGATCAGAGACTTCTTACAGCACACCACCTAACAGCACTTTACCTTACTTACATAAATGGTTGTCCAGATGGTTGAATCTTATTTGTAAAGAAACTCTTTTTTTAAGATTTATTTTATTATGAACTATGTATATGTGGATATGTGTACACGAGTGTGGGTTTGCACAGAGACCAGAAGAAGGCATTGGATTCTCTAGAGCTGGAGTTACAAGTGGTTGTGAGCCACCAGTCATGGGTTTGGGGAAGCAAATCTAGTCCTGTGCAAGAGCAGCAAGCGTTCTCAAGCACAGAACCATTTCTCCAGTTCGTGTAAAGAAAATTTTTAAGTAGGAATATATGTCCTGGTCATTGATTGCAACTCAAGTGACTGATTCTAGGAAGCAGACCTCCATACCACTGAACACTCAAATCCTGGTCAATAATCCATAGCAGTGGGACCAAGAACATCACCCCATGCTCCCCCCCACTCCACCAAGCCTTAATTCAAGGCTTTTTAAAGATTCTATTCCTCAGGCCTTATCTAAATACCTACAAATTTAAATAAAACAGTATTTTCATGCATAGTCCAATTGCCCTTTATCTTCTTTTCATGCAGTGCGATGAAATGAAACGGAGTACTGTAAAATTAAAGGAACAAGTATGTAGATACAAATACACTGCCTAACAATATGTAAAAATATTTCATTATATTCACCTTCAAAGGAATACCGTCTATTAAATAACACAATTTTATACTCGTGGCTATCCTGACTCAAGTTTCTTTAGACCTTTAAAACTGTAAGTATTTCTTTCTCTCTTAGGCATGAGGAAGAATTTCTTCAGGGTGATAATGATTTTTTTCATCATCAATGCAAGCAAAAACAATAAATGGATTTACCTCAAGGCTTTGCAAAGTATAGGTTGGAGAGATGGCTCAGCTGTTAATAGCACCAGCTGCTCTTGCAGAACACCCAGGTTTAATTCCCAGCAATTACATGGTGGCTAAAAACCATCCATAACTCCAGTTCCAGGGTAATTCAATGCCTTCTTCTGACTCTGGGGGGATTGCATGACATGGGTGCACTTACATGCAGGCAATACACTCATACACATAAAATAAAAAATAATAAATTAATATATATTTATACTAAGATCATAAAATCAAATTCTTGAGAAAGTATTGTATAACTTAAGAATATATATTAATTAATATATGTATGAATTACTAAGTAAATGGAACCAGAGCTTGAAGTGGGATGACTGTGCCTTGTTTCTATTAGAGGGAAAAAGAAAGTATGATCATTTATTCGCAGGCATAGATTCAAGCCAGATACCTATAAAAAGTTAATGGGAGATTTTGGAACCTCATAAAAAGCTATAGAAGAGCATCTTGTCCTGCATCAAGTCTCTGTACACATCTGCTATATGTGGTGTACATTATGTGCCTGAGAGGTTGGAAATTATACACATAAAAAGGATACCACCATGTTAAATTACAGATATTCACTGGCCTGAACATGCATAATATTTTATATGCCTTAATCTCAGCATTTTTGGTTAGAATACCATCGAATATAACTGAAGACCTTATTGTTGGTGTATTCTTGTTAGACCTAATTTATGGGAGATGCAGGTGAAATTTTTCCAGATGTTTAAGAAAATTTAGGCTTTTTCTAACACAGTGCTCAAAATTTTATCAGTCACTATTTCATCCTAGCAGCAAAATACTTCTTGTTATCAAATATTTGTGTTACTTCTTGGTGGTTGCATAGCAACTTAGCTCAAAGTAAAACTTAATAGCTTTCAACAATACCATGCTACTGGTTCTATGCCAGCCTTTGTTTACCCAGGTCTCTTATCTCAAATTTTCTTATGAAATTGCAATCAGTACATCACTGAAAACTATATCTCAAAGCTAGCCTGGGCAAAACCTGCTTCCAAGACCACTCCCGGATGGCAGCAGGTCTTGTGTCTTCCCTGGCCAGGGGAGAAGCATTGGTTCATTATCGGGTTGGCCTATCCAATCATTTGTGAACATTTGTGAACACTGGGCTGTTCACAAAGCCACAATGCTGCTGCCTTCAAGGCAAGTGTCAGAGAAGAAAACAGAGTTACCAAGATTAAAAAATCACAGTCTATTTGTAGCGATTTTGGAGGTGAGAACTCATCCCTTTTGCTTTATTCTTGTCATTAGAAGTGAGTCATGAGATCCAACCCTACACAAAATCAGTAAGGGTGTATTACATAAGGGAATGAGGCTTAAAGAGGTGGACTCCTAAGGAGCTATGTTCCAGGCTACCGAATACACTGATCTTTCTGCTCTAGAGAGCCTCATTTCTCAGGTCTAACAACATAGAATTGCACAAAATTTTTATGTGGACAGAACAGAATTTCAGTTTTATCTATATCTAGATTAATAATTAAATGGACATTTTGTCTACAGACTGTAACAAGTATTTGAGAGAGATCTAACTATGTCTAGGAGGTAAGAAAATAGTGCTCTGAACAAATAATTTTTAAACTATTATCTGAAAGATAATGTAATTGGCCATTTGTGAGAGGAGGTCTGGATGAAGAAG